AGAACATGAAAAAATGGGGGTTGCCATACCAACTCTAACGAGACGAATCAATTAAGGTGGGCTATTATAAGCAGGAGGAAAAAAAAACTTTTGTAGTGATAATCAGGATGGAGGTCCTTTCTCGCCTTAAAATCAATGAATCAGATTAAAGGGAGCTATTCTGTCTTTGAAACGTATAGCTGAACGAGTTTGGGATAAATCCATGTTACTAGTCTGTGGTGAGGTCACGGGTGAAATTAAATAATTTCTTTCCCTAGTGTCAGCCCAACAAGGATCATCTAGAATAAAGAGCCACAAACGTTGCTGTACAGTAAAGCATGGGCAAAGGCGAATTGGACGAGTAATATAAATAGGTCATTTCCATCCCTAATCCTTGTGGTCCAGTGATTCTGTAAATGCTGCTGCTCTGTGTCATTAGAACAGAAGACAGGTTTCAGAGTAACAGCCGTGTTAGTCTGTATTCGCAAAAAGAAAAGGAGGACTTGTGGCACCTTAGAGACTAACCAATTTATTTGAGCATGAGCTTTCGTGAGCTACAGCTCACTTCATCAGATGTATACGGTGGAAACTGCAGCAGACTTTATATACACACAGAGATCGTGAAACAATACCTCCTCCCACCCCACTGTCCTGCTGGGAATGGCCACAATGGGTCAGACCAATGGGTCCATCTACCCCAGTGTCCTGTCTTTTGACAGTGGCCGGTGTCAGCTGCTTCAGAGGGAATGAACAGAACAGGGCAATTCAGATCCATCCTCTGTCATCTAGCTTCCTCATTTTATGTAGTTCCCTTAATGTGGTGGGTTTCTTTGGTATTTTCCCCACAACAGAGATGTTAAATTTAATTACACCCTGGTGGCTAGTACTGAGCAGTTCAGCTGTATCACCTCTTGGACCAGATCCTGTGCTCCACTGAGGACTATATCAAGAATTACCCCTCCCCTTATGGGTTCCAGGACTAGCTGCTCCAAGGAGTAGTCATTTATGGTGTCTAGAAATCTTCTCTCTGCATCCTGTCCTCAGGTGACATATCCCCAGTCAATATGGGGATAGATGAAATCTCCCGTTATTGTGTTTTCTGCCTTAGTGGCCTCTCTAATCTCCCCAAGCATTTCACAGTCACTGTCGCCATGCTGGTCAGGTGGTTGGTAGGATATCCCTGCAACTAAACTCCGATTGTTCAAGCATGGAATTTCCATCCATTGAGATTCTGTGGGACACCTGGTGTCATTACTTCATTTGACTGTATGCTTCCTTTCACATATAGTGCCACTCCCCAACCAGGGCAACCTACTCTGTCATTCCTGTATATTTGGTACCCTAGTATTATCATGCCATTGATTAGCCGTATTCCACCAAGTTTACGTGATGCCTTTTATGTCAATATTCTCATTTCATGCCAGGCACTCTAGTTCACCCATCTTAGTATTTAGACTTCTGGTGTTTGTATATAAGCACTTGTACATGTTGTCATTGTTCAGTTGCTTGCTTTTGTGTGTTATACTTAAATGGGACTTGATTGTTCCTCACTAGCTCCTATCTGTTCTTTACCAACTTCTTTCCTTTAGTCAGTAAAGGCAGCTGTTAATTGGATTAACAACATTACGGTTCTTCTTTGCTCCTGTGCTGGAGGTTTCTGTTCCTGCTCAGCACCATGATCCCTCTGCCATTCAGCAAGGTGAATCCCAGTTGAAATCTCATGTTTGATTAGGACACAAAATTCCCCTGCCACTGTGCCCACTTCTGACACGGATCTGGCAGGACGCAGTTAGCATTTCAAAGGATTTTTGCCTCGGAGGTGGGGGCGTTCTCAATAAACACAGTACCAACTGCCCAGGATGTTCTGGGGCAGATGGAGAGGGGTGAAACGGTACCTGAATCTCATCTGTATCTTTGAAGAGAAATGTGATGTGCTAGTGAGATGTCCGTGGAAAACTCTCTGGGTAACTCATCTGTGCTGACTGATGGCTTCTGGCAGTCCCGTGGTTACATGAATGTTGTAGTGAGGTCCTTCTGGCACTGTATTCCTATATCCAATTTTACACTGATTACCCATGGGCATCATTCCATTAACTTCAACGGAGTTACTCCCCACTCACACTAGTATAAGTGGGTGGAAAACCAGACCCATTTGGATCCTGTTGGATTCAGATACCAACTGGACGTTCCCAGCTCATGCCCGCCAATGTCATATGCTAAATGGAAATGTCTGATCTGATCATCTACAAACTTTGGAGAATCTCAGATCCAGGCTTCAAGGCACAGAGCCTCTCCAGCTGTAACCCAAGGGATGTGATGTGAGCCTAGAGGGCCACAAGATATCCCCTGAAAAGCACCTCACACATTCCAGGCCCAGCCACTTGACCCCATGGAAGATGCTCCAAGAGGACCCCACAGGGTGACCTGGGGGATGGGAGTCAAAGGACCCAGGCTTCCACCTCTGGATCCGCACCCCTCCCAGTACATGGTAGGAGGCAGCACAAGTTAATAACGTTGATTTAATGTACTCTTCCCCTTACCTTTCATGGGCTCCCCTCCTTTAGAGGGCTCAGTGAACAGCTGTGTCATGTACCCCATGTGCTAGCTGTGAGCGGACTCCATGTTTCTAAAACTGGATCTCTAGTAAGACAGCTCATTGCAGAGGTGCTGCAACTGCAGCTAGCATTCCAGCCATGTGCACACAGACTGGCTTCCTGGGGCACCCTCCAAACTCTTCCCTCCTGCAACCTGTGCTCCTCCCTCCAAGTTCATTGCAGGTTGTTACAACATGGAGAGCCATGGAAGTATGTCTCCTGAAGGCACCATGCTCTCCAGGGGTCAACAAAGCCAACCAATAGGTGCAGAGACAAGGGGGCTCCATGAAGATGCCTCTTGCCACTGGCAGACCCCCCTGAGATCCCTGGATTAGGATCTGGACTGAGGCTTCCTCCCCAGAAAAGCCTGTCTCCATCTCTCTCCCCAGATAGACACTGCGTAGTAAACTCTGAGTGATGCACCTCTCTGAATTCCCTTTCTTCTAGGCAGGTTATTCCCTCATTAGGGAAGGGCTCCTCTGCCTGTTCCCCCACTCCTCTAGCCCTAAGCTGCCTCCCTGCTCCCAGACTTTCTCCACAAGAAGAAAGTTTTATGATGGAGAGAGGGAACTCAATTATTTCGCTCTCAATGTGTCTCCCTATAATTGGTGTCTTTCATGTCAAGATGATCTCAATTTGTATTATGGGCTCCGTGCACACAGCACTTTCTCTTTGGTCTATAAAGAAATTGTCAAGTGCATAAATCATAGTGCACATTAAATTACGCTATCCTTTTACTTATTAATTTCCCCAGTTTTTTCCCCTCCACTGGATTCTTCTTCCCTCCCTCTTTCTCTCCTCTGCCCACTGCCTATTCTCTCTTCCTCCCTTCCACCCTCTCTCCACCCCTGTCTGATGGCCCATTTTCAGAAAGTAGTGACCAGTGGGTTCAGTTTCCCTCATCATTGTCCAGTACTCTGACTCTTTCCCTACACCTCTTGCAGTTGATCACATCAGACCCTTCACCCAGGGTGATGGGAAGGAGCTGTCATGGCTTTCCAAGAGCCCACAGTTGAATTGGCAGGTGTCTTTACATTGATTTCAGTGGGCTTTGGATCAGTCCCAACTTGGGATGTGTCACTGATGTTATGTAGTGCACTGTTCGATCAGGTCTTCCTCTAGTGGCTAGCCACACCAACTGTAACAACTTACTCCCCTTAAAGCCAGTCTTGTACAGCTGACGTAGTACAGGCCTGTGATTTGGCTGTTGAAGATCCTGGGTTCAGTCCCAGCTAATATGTTAGTATTCTGGCCAAGGCTACTCACAATTCCAAAACCAGAGAATGGCAAATGACAGGGCCAAATTCTGCTGCCTGTTTTGCTGGTTCAAATCCCTTGACTTCACTGGCCTTGCATGGGCATAAGAGTGGGCAGATATTGTCCTCTAGGGTCTAGAGGCACTGAGCTGCAAGACAGACCTCTCTTCTGTTGAATGTGAGTGTGATAATAACTGTAGTCTCTTTATGTCTATGTACATTTCCCCCTCGAGACAACAATGCAGCAGGATCCTCTAGGCCCTCCATCATGTTAACCTACTTGTCAGCCACTTTGATAGCTTTTTAATACTAAATATGTTTGCGGAGCAATTAGAATAAATCTAGACAGTTATGAAATACTTTCCGAAAGCGGGGCCGAGGCCGGGGGGAAGGGGGGGGGCAGGGGGGAGCCAACTTTGCTGTTCAACCGAGACTAAGCAAAAATAATGGAGGAGGGAATCAACATGGCTGGACTGCAGGGTAAAAGGAGACCAGGGCAGGTTAGAGGAAAGGGCTATGGAGGTCCTAAATATATAACTACTCAAGTCACTGGTCAGTGGAGTGGCAAGAATGGGGAGTGCTAGCCATAGAAGATACAAACAAAGGAGCATGCTGTATATCCCTCTCACAAGGTCAGATGATTTAGCATTAACATGGTTGATGCTAGCATTATCTCTCTCGCTCTGCCACAGTCCGTGCAAAAGAGGAAGGAAGGCTGTTTGCAGCAGAGCCTTTAGGAGGGATTCTGGCCATCTCAGAAATCCTCCTTTGTTCTCCCTGGGAGCAAAAAGCTACATTAGCAGTCCTGCTGCTGTTACAGCAGGTTCTTCGCTGGGCCTGACTGGGGACCTCTGCTGGCCAGGTGCAGGGTGCGAAGGGCTCACCTCACCCCCCTACCCATCGGGCCTCCACCAGCGCTGAACCTCCCAGCCACATGGTCGGGAAGTAAGGGAGCGAGGGGTTCCTTGCCCCGTCTCCCAACCCCAGCCCTTTTACTTCCTTCTTTTAACTGTTCTGCATTCTTGTTGCCCGCTCTTAAATAGCCACTGTGTTCTGCATATGCAGAAAACCCTGCTGCTAAAAGGAGCACGCTAAAAACCCAACAGCACAAGTAGGGGATCTGTGGGCTCCGTTGTTAATTGCACTTCTCTCTCTCTGTTTTTCCTTGCAGATGAACAGACCAATCCAGGTGAAGCCAGCGGACAGCGAAAGCCGAGGAGGTAGTTGACTACATTGCTCCTAGCCACTGCGCTAAGTTTAATTGTTGTCTCTGGCTTCTCTCAGGCAATGCGCTGATCAATTAGCAGCGTAATCACTGCCAAAGAAATTCCCTCTGCAGCAAAGATCCTCTTTATTAAATCTCCTTTCCTTCGTCTCACTTTCCTCATATTCAATTATTATTTGATTTTAAAAGGCAGGCAGGTGCCAGTGATTGCCTGGGAAACAAATAACTGCCTTGTTAAGAAATGAAGCATCAGGCACTGACTTATCAAAGTTTAACGGCACTGACAGCAACTTGTCTCTTGCAGACCGTGCTCTGCCATTAGGCCAACCTGCAATGATGGTTCAGTTGGGTTAGAACACTGTGTCTCCAGCCCGCATGTTTCACTGTGGTGACTAAACGTGGATGGAAGCTTCTCTGCCTTTGGAGAAAGCAAACTTACTCTGAGATATTTCCTGCACCTGTACCGGTATAGCGTGATGAACATACCATATAAACTAGATTCTCAGCTCAGTGACACGGAGTTACCCTGGATTTGCACACGAGTAACTGAGATCAGAATCTGCCCCTGGCCCATATCCAAGTCCCTTATTTAGTGACCACTCAGTGGGTCACCCCAAATGGGTTGCCTCCATTAGGTAGTTTTCAAACAAAATTGTGTTGGAAAGCTTGGAGATGCTTCACTGGGCTTCCCTAAAACAGGAAGTTGTCTGTCAGATGTGGTCCCAGCACAGATTTTATTGTATACAGAAGGGTTATGTAGGCCAAGGACTCTTTGTTATTCAGTGTTATGTATTTATCAGCCTCTATGGTATGGCTACATCTCTCTGTTTCTATCTACATGATGGTTTCTTCCTACTCCAGTCAAATCTCTTCCTATTCCTTTAATTGAAATAAGAGGTTGATATTGTTGATCACACTACCAATAAGGCTGTCAAGGACAGCTTGCATAGTGCATGCTAGTGATTATAGAATCAGTATCAGTGTCTGAATAGGCCAGAGTTTTCTGTTAATAATAATCTGGTTCTTCTCTGGGTAAAAACTCTTTGGGCCATTTTTCATTAATGTAAATTGCCTCTTTCTATGGGCAACGATTGAATTATCCAGCAACAGTTGTCTAAAGTGAATGAAGCAAATCACAATAAAAGAGCAGTAGTTATGTTCTTTTTAGTCAAAAGATTGAGAGATCCAGTGGTTTGATCAAATACAACCAGAGGCTGAAATTCACCAGTGGCTGGATTCAACTGGAAGGCATAGATGACAACCTGGCATTATGAAATGGTGGAACTGGTGGGTTGACAGAGATTCCATAAGATTGGTTATCTTATGGTGTAATTGTGTCGGATGGGAGTCTCTGGAATAACTCCACTACTGTGTAATCAAATTCAGGGATCAACCTTGCTCTATTGGAGTCTGAGGGGCTACTCCTATGAACAAAACAAGATTTGGGAATGGCATATTCCAATGGTATCGATTAGGAATGGTCGTGTCCCGTTTCTTTCATTCAGCAAAGGAAAATTTAAAAACCGTCTTTCAGATCCTCAGCTAGTGTAGAACAATGGAATGTCATAGTTTTCAATGGAGATATGTCGATTTATGCCCCAGCTAACGATCTGGGCCCATATCTCCATCTGAATTGGCATGCCCAGGGCACTTGTCAAATGATGACCTCCTGGGTCAGCTGCCTGGCAGACAGCTGGGGCCAGATGCACATTCCGGCACAGCCCAGGATGACAGCGTGTGTGAAGGGATGGTCTTTTGTCTGCTTAATTAGACACACCAAAAAATAATAATTAGGCCAGCTAGTTTGCTTAGTGCCTCCAAATCACTCCCTTTTATGCAGATCGCTAATAGCAGACACATGCCTGGCTTTCTAGAATGGGTTTTAAGCCTCTCTTGCCGGCAGCTGCTTTCAGGAAGGTGGGTTTGAACTGCAAAGTGCATCGGTGGCTGTTTAAATCATCTTTACTCATCACACTGACAATCGCCTCCCCGCTGTATTTTTAGCTAATTATCTCCCCTCTCCCACCCACTATCCTTGTTTATTGTGTCTCTCTGCCAGGATCATAAGATGGGGCCCAAACATTTGGCATTGAAATGAAAGCCACGTTGTCCAAATTCCCCACTGACAAGCTGCTTCTGGGCTAGGGAAGTTGCAGGACAACATGACTCAAGGGCAACTATGGGAAAAAAGAACAATGGGCACCCAGGGGAGGCACTGTATGAAAACTTAGACTCTGTGAGCCCACTGGTTAAAGCAGGCACAGCAAGCAGAATGCTAAAGAGGAGTCTGTGTATCTTAGGCGCACATCAAAAGGCATCATTAGGGCTGCAAGATAAAGGTCAACTTCGACAACAAAGAAACTTAAGTTATAGCTATAATACACAGCACGTGTGCCCTGTTTGAAGAGGAGAGGGACTGGCTCTAACCCACAGCTGTACAGCAAAAGCCCTTGACTTTCCCAAAGTCCACCAGATACACATGACACTCCTTTCCACCACCACCCTCCTGCCTCCCCCTCCTCTGGGGAAGTGTTTGGTGCCCTGTCATAGCATTACAGGGAGAACAAAGTGCTGTTTTACCAGGTAGTTCACTGGGATGCCTTTACGGAAGGCGATCCCTGTGAAATGAGGTCTTGTTCTCTGTTGTGATGGACACATGAGTTCAGATCAGATAAGAAGCCCCGCATTTCCCCCAATCCTTCACCCTAAAATTGAAACAAACCTGCACCCAGAATCTACTCCGAGAGAGGAAGAAGTCTGGTTCATATCATACTGCATCGGTTTTGCATTTTTCACTCCCACCTCTGTGCCTTTTTGTTTTCCTTTCCTTTCTTTGGATGTGTTTAAAAACACTCCCATTAAAATATTTTGGCGTCTGGTTTGGAAGATGACAGCACTTTTCAGTACTCTTTGTTATTTTCATTAGCCTAAGTGCCCATCATATTAGAAATACATGATTTTTAAGTTATATTTTTCTTGAGAAAGCAATGGTTTAAATTAGAGGGGGAAAGTGTTTTGCAAATTTCACAAGAGTTTTAAGAAATTCCTGAAATTCAGAATTTAATAGAGTGTGGAATCCTCTCTACAGAATTCTTAGTGAGGGGTCAAATAACTTATTGAAAGGTTATCATTTTTATTACATTCTCTATCAGGTTTTATCCAGGGTAAAATCAATAGGTCTCTGTAGGAAATTAGTCAGGCTAGACATTATTCTAAAACTTAGCACAAAACTCTGGTTTCATAGAAGTCAATTGCAAAACTCACCTTTACAGCTGTGATGTCAGGATTTCACCCCATAGTAGAGATTGTAATAGATCATCACCATAGCTAACGTAATTCTCCAGGGAAAGGGGATAACTCCCTGCTAAGTTCTGTCATTGTGAAAACATCCATAGTGAAGTGTTAGCAGTTTCTATTCATTTCTATGGGACTTTTGCGTTAAGACAGGAGATTCTGGCTTCTAACCCCACTTTCCGCCCTGAAGAAAAGTGGCAAAGTTAACCAAAGTTTTCCAAATCTCAGGAAAGGTTTTAGGTGTGGTAAGTGATTTGGGGGAAACGTTTTGAACCAGTTCTTATTTTATTTTATTTTCTTCATTGCATCCGATGAAGTGAGCTGTAGCTCACGAAAGCTTATGCTCAAATAAATTGGTTAGTCTCTAAGGTGCCACAAGTCCTCCTTTTCTTTTTGTGAATACAGACTAACACGGCTGTTACTCTGAATCCTTTTCTTTTTATTTTATCCTGACATTCCCCCGTCTCTAGCATTGACTAGACACTTTGGCTGCAGCACTTGCTGTTAACTTGGAATAAACACAGCCTCTAGATTCCCCTGGCTTGTATTGGGCAAAAGATTTTTAAACACAAAGGACTCTTCTTCCACTCCAGTTGCTCTGTTAGTGATGTGTAGATGGATTGTTCCCTCCCAGAGCTGATAAAAAGGATCCATATAGGATAACATGCTAAGAGAGAGATACACAATGTGATACACTGACCCAGTGTTAATCTCTGAATGAAAAGACCCTGGGAGTGGTGTCAGGAGATCTCCCGGGCCTTATGTAAGATTCACAGGAAATTGCTAGACTAAACAAAACAAAAAGCAAGTTAAATAAAGTCCAAAGGTGGTTGAGAGTTGAAAGGTAGCAGTGCCCTGCAGAGAGGGATTAGAGGGTTTTGCAAGAGAGTCTCCATTTAATTCCATGACAGTGTTTTCTGCACGCAAGGCATCACAGAACAAACACCTCTCTCTCTCTCTCTCTCTCTCTTTGGCTTTCCTGGATGAAAGATGTGATGGCAGCTGCTGTAAAGTTTTGATTGCCATGAATTTCCTATGACTTGCATGATTTCATTATTTGGGGAGGCAAATGTCCCTCTAATCAGAATGGTTTCCCTGTAAACAGTTGCTGGAAAATAGAGGGGTGGAGGGTAGATTCCTTTCCATAAGCTAGTTTTGAAGCAGCCTGGTTATGAACTATTTAGTTTTCCTTATGCTTGGTTCTGATTCATCCTAGTTCTTGGGTAAAATGGCTTTACAGCTACCCATGGCTTGATGTTCATTCAAGGTAAGCAGTACATTTTGAGCATGCAGGTGGAATATTACTGTAACATTCAAGAATAATTTGAACTTGTCCGTGCAATTTCAGCTATGGATCTTGAAGCACCTGTCAAACCTTATGGACCTGATTGCCCTGTGCCATGGGAAACCCAATGAAATGGGGGATAAAGAGGAGGAAATCTCAGGGCAAATTTTCTGTTCTGTTGAGGGTGGGTGGTGCCTATGGGCATCTTCCCGCTGGACTTCCTTAAAGAGAAGCCACCTTGCAAGCTGGGAAGGGGGCTGTGGAAGTGTCACCCTTGCTCCATAATGCCAGTGGACAGAGAGGGGCAAGCCTTCCAGTTCTGGCACCTGGCCTACAGACGCTCTTCCTAGACTGACCACTCCCCCCTCTCACACTGATCCCCAGACTCACGCAGAGCCATCTGGGGGAAGAGCGGA